CAATAAAGCAAGACAATCATTAGTTCACAAAAAATGTTTGAAAGCAAGCTGTTCCTTGCTTTCTGAGCTATTGGGTAGTAATGCCCAGCAGTATGTATGAACAATATTTTGTTCCTGCTACTCGATTACTGAATGATCATTGACTGGAAGTGTTGTTTCTTACTTTCAAAGCTTTGAGTGCTATGGAGATGCGATTTATATACTACATTGCAGAATTATCACTTTATTATTATCACTTAAGATGACCATAGTATTGAAAAGGTGTTATAATTCTTGCATTCATAGTGAAGACTAAGTCAATTTTCTAATGCAAAATGTCATCTGATGTTTTGAGAAAATCAGTCTGAAAATCTAGCTGGTAGACTAGTGGTGAACTCTGAAGAGCATACTATCTGGTACTCACTAGATTTTTCTTCGTGTAAAAAACACCAGATCCATGACTAATGAAAGAGCTCAGTTTTCCCTAAGCGTGTATTGGAGTACAGTAGTAACAACATGAATTTTAACCTTGATAAATATATTTTTATTTAAAAAGTCATACTTTATCCAAATTTTGATGGTGATTATTTAATGAGACCTGAAATAAAAATTATTTTGACTGCTCCTAGATGATACAATCGTCGCTACGGAGGTAGCTTCACTAAGAAAATTCAACATTATCCTGAGGCAACTGTATTCTGTATTAACTACTAGAGCACTCGATGAGGTGTAATGTCGGCATATGCAGATAGGCTATACTTATTAAAACAAACACGCGTGCGTGGCATTAAACACTTGTTGAAAATAATACACAGAGTCCTATATAGATGTTTTAAACAAATTAATACAGACGAAGCAACCACAAATAGCGAATAGTAATAATAGGAAGACAAAATGAAGAATAATAATGATAACATGGCTACAAATTCGATTTAGACGTTAAGAATGGATTAAGATGAGGGTAACTGTGATGAATAACTTGGAAAGTGTTATTTGAAAATACAATGCATCTTTTATTTTCATGAATACTGAGGGAATGTTTCAATTTTGACATTGAGATATTCTACAAGTAGTGAATTTTTCATGGAGGAGACAACAATAACAAAAAAGACTCACACTATGGTGAAAGAACATTTTACTTGGAGTTTTCAAGAAAAACAAGTTTCCTGATGATTCTAAAACAATTTTACTTTGTGCTTCTTGTAAGTATAGTGCAAGTATAATTTAATTTGATCAAGTTGAAATATTACAAAATGAGTGAAATGGTAAGGTAATAGTTTAGATATGATAACTTATATATCCAAAATGTGAAATATATAAATAGATATATATGTAAATATATATAGATATATAAAAAGGGAGTTATCTCCTCGAGCATAATAATATATCAAATCCAATAAAAGGAACATCAGATTCGAAATACTGGTATTTTTTTATTATCTTTAGTTGGTTAGAAGTGCTTTTGCATCTTACCCTGCTCTTCAACCAGTGGCTATAGATGTACAAGAATTGATCAAACTTTTACACTCCTTGATTTTAACTTTCAATCCTGGAATATATGAACCAAATAAAGATATTAAAAAGATATTATTAACTGTATTTCTAACTTATAGTGTTTTATTTGCTCGTGGTAGAAATATTTTCAGTCGTGCAGATTGTTTTAATAATGAAAAGTTTTACTGAATATTTTCGTAAAGGTTTATCAAAATAAAATATAATTTTGAAGCATGAAAATGCAGATTGAAAGTGCAGTCAAAAACGTTCCAGACTAATATTTACACTTAGTGAGCCCATGGAGAAGACGTGTTGCTTGCTAATTTGTATGACTTGGGAGAGTTTGCCAAATTAGTGACTGGGTTAGCACTAATGTCTACAAGGGTCAATCTGCCCACATTGGATGATGAAGGCCCAAATGTCACTGGAAAGTTACGGGATGTCCCCAGTGTTAGATCATCAGACTCGACATCATCACAGCTGGACGAGCCTAAGCTACAAGCAGTATTGTAATTGATGTCACACAGAGAGGTGAAGATAGAGGAGTGATGAGATGTGGTAACTTGTACCATTGTAGGATGCAGCACTACTACAATGAGACCACTACACATCCAAGCAAACAAAGAGCTTTCTGGCACTAGGTACATTTTGAGGGACATCCAAATCTTGAAAATATAGAGGTGGAGTGGGTTCCAGCAAGGCTTCAATGTTGGCATTGATGACCGGGAAAACTTCAGAAACAAAGACCAATGTGAAGGCATTGCAGATGGGCCTGATGGCTCAAACAACAGTTCTTGTCATAAATGAGGGAACCTCTACCTCATAGGTTGGACATGCTAGACGGTTGCATAAGACCAATACTTCCATAGTATTTCAGACACCACAAAGGAAGTGACCACAGGAGATACTTCAGAAGGAACCAAGCATTGTGGTATCTTTCAAGCCACCTAAGGTGATCAAAAAGTGGTCAGAGGTTTGGGTGCTATACAATTGTAAAGAAGATTGGCTTTGGCTTAGAAAAATGGCCACTCTTCCATGAAGATACGAGAAGAACGTCTAGCACCTGAGAACTCGAGCAGAGCTTGAGGCATCCATGGCCATCAAATGAAAGGCAATGATAACATTGGAAACTCTGTTGGTAGAATTAGTGAGGCAGCGAAGCCTGAAATGTTTTCGTATATATTTAACTTACCACAATTTGTTTTGTATGTTTTGTATTTTCGTTTTAATTTAGTGTTCCCTCTGCTTTCCACACTTTTGAGAGAGTGTCAAAGAGAGAATGCTTAACAGTTTTTTTATGAATTATTTTATTGGATGTGTGTGTGTGTGTTTCATTTTACTTTAGTAATGACGTTCCCTGGTTCTTTCACCCGTATGGTCATGTGAAAGCTATATTATGTTCATTTGGTTTGTGTGTATATATATATAACATATATGTGTAAGTAACGTGCTACTACTCACACGATTACACAGTTATCTGTGAGTGAGAAGCAGTTCTCTATTATTGTTATTGTCATTTTGATATTTTTGGGTGCATGTGTGTGTTGAGAATGTTCCTTTTTCTTTTTTGGTTTGGAGTATTCTAGCTTAATTTCATTATTATTATAATTTTCGTGAGTTAAATCACAATCTAGATTTTTTGTTTGTTTTCACTGCTCAGTTTAACTTTTATACTTCCGTTTTTGTTTTTGTAGTTTTATTAAATGTGTATGTTGGACTGCTCCTTTCGTAGGTTGGACATCATTACCGGAAGTAATACACTGCTGGATTAATAAATTGTAAAATATTGTCACTGGTCTAGGTCTTAATTCCTTGTTTTATAGATAATTTATTAAATATATTTGAAAGTCCAAAAAATTGTGAAGAAAAAAAGTTCAACTTCCTGTATATCCTACTTTAAAGGAAATATATCAGTATGGTTCGACACAAATGTTTGGACGTTATATATGTGTTTAGGAACGATATATATATATATATATATATATATGTCTGTGTGTGTTAAAAAGTACGGGTGTTGCAGTGTATATTTTAGCTCTTTCATCTAAAACTGAGAGTTAGAAAGCACACAATTTTCTTTGCATAGTTCAAGTATCTCCTACTTTTGCATATTACTATGACAACCAGCAACTTAAGCCAAACGTGGCGTGTTAAACAAAACTGTTTCCTATTTAAATTCCTATAATTTTGAAACAACCCACTTGATAAGGAAATAATTTTGAATATAGAATTATGTGAATATTCATGCTTTGCAAGCGCTTCTACTACAAGGATACAAAAAACAAAATCAATCTCTCGTAAAAGGTAATATAAAATCGTTATCACTTATTGACAGATTTAGTACAATAATAAACTGAAAGACTTTATTTTCAAAAACTCAATATAAATATTTGTATAACAATAAACATTTTCCATATATAATATAACAGTTAATTGATTAAAATGAGAGCATATTAGTAAATCACTATTTAAATTAAACTTAAGCAAATATAGTTACTTGAAAATGGTTTATTCTTCATGTGCTTTAGTTTAATGCCATCCCGAAATATTTGATATGTTTATGCTTTGCCTATTCCAAATTAACTACCCTCGGTAGTTCAGCAGTAAGGGTAAAGGCTGACACTGTTTGAAATTATTAGTGTGGGTGATAAAACATCGCAATAGAGATCTGTTATGTTCTTCATTAAACAATGAACTTCATCAATTACCCAGTACATTTTCCGAGAAAAACAAACAAGTTTGAAATTATTAGTGTAGGTGATAAAACATCGCAATAGATCTCTGTTATGTTCTTCATTAAACAATGAACTTCATTAATTACCCAGTACTTTTTCCGAAAAAAACAAACAAACACAATGATTTATTATTCGTAATTTTAAGTGTTTTCTGATTACGATAACGCGTTACTCAGTGGGAAAAAATATCACATTAGGAACGCTTCCGTGACAATACGGTTGCTTCTATTTTCAAGTTGTGAAATATAAAGGCAGTCAAAATAATTTCAATAAATGATTTATTTAGAATATTATCTAGGAACAAAGTTCTCAATCTTTAGAACATACCGTGTTTTGAAACAGGAATGCTTATTATACTTCACCAAGTGTGTAAAATGTAAAAAATGTCAAATTTGTGTAATTTACATAAAAGTACTAGTGCACAAAAGTAATATTGAAGGAATTCTAAATAGTGGTTTGTCTAAACCACATGATCTAGTAATAATAGATATATGTCTAAACCACGTGATCTAGTAATAATAGATATATGTCTAAACCACATGATCTAGTAATAATAGATATATGTCTAAACCACATGATCTAATAATAATAGATATATGCCTAAATCACGTGATCTAGTAATAATAGATATATGCCTAAACCACATGATCTAATAATAATAGAAATATGCCTAAACCACATGATCTAGTAATAACAGATATATACCTAAACCACATGATCTAGTAATAACAGATATATGCCTAAACCACGTGATCTAGCAATAATAGGTATAGACTTTTTCTTTTCACTTCACAGACAACTCGTGGATGAAGATGATTTGTCAGAAGTTCAGCCTGATGCTGTGCCTGATGAAGTGCGTGACTGGTTGGCTACTACTTTTACTCGACATGCCACGGCACAAAGGAGGCGAGGAGACGACAAGCCTCGTTTCAGATCTGTAGCCAATGCAATTCGAGCGGGTATTATGGTCGATAAGTACGTGTATTCTATCTATCAACCAAATTATATCTCTAGAATTAGTTTCTTAGCTGCACATCTTTTTAAATATTTTGATAAACTTTTGTTTAGTAGAATTACGTGTTTAAATTTGATCTAGATTTTAAAAAAACCTGTACAGTGATTTTATTAGTTTATCATAGTTACAAACTTTTTAAAGCTGAAATTAATCAAAACAGGTATAGTTCAACAACGTTTACATATTTGATTTGATAACTTCTTACAGAATGTAATAAATTAATGATAACACTCTGAGTTATAGAAAATGCAAGCACAGATAGCTCATTGTGTAGCTTTGTGTTTAATAGCCAACAAACAAGAAAGTGAAAGTAGATTATCTATTTTGAATGTGAGTTTCTTAAGATTGTGGTGATCATTAAGATAATGGAAACGATGCACCAATATGACGTAGACGTATCATTTACACAGAAATTCAAATCTCAACTACTTCACAATATACTCATGTAAGTATGACGAAGAAGCCATGTAATAATATTATGTTTTGTTCCTCAACTGCAATAGGTATAATACACTTCAAGAACACTTAGTTTATTCTGCAAATCAATTTTCTAAAGAAAAATTCCACCAATTTCTTCATTTTTCGAAAAGCAATTTTGTAACTTTACTACAAACCTCACTTATACTAAGGCTTACATAAAAATAAAACAGTATTCGATTTGTTCCTATGAAAGTAAATATTAAAATCTAGAATTAGGAAGAAGCTGTTCTCACCTATCAGGCCAGGAAATGTTGCCCCTAAGAGAAAATGGAATATATCCCAGCATTCCAATGCCAAACGACATCCACCGTGTGAAATTAGCCTCAATCTGACGCTAGTGGGAGGACCTAAAATATGAATATCTTAAGCGCAATATTTAATACATTATCCTATTTTCCCCATCTTTTGACAAAGGTCTCGGAACAACCCAATAAAATTTATAGAATATTTTAACTGCCCGATTACATTGCTGTAAACGTACAAAACTTTCATCGGTTTGACATAATTCTACAAATTTAGTGTTCAAAGACATAGCTAATACTCTATAATATCTCGTACTTTAAATAATAACTTGTATATGTCAATGGCTATCACCGAACAATAACCTAAATTTCAATAACTTTACTATGTCGACATTTTCTCTTTATATATAAGTTCTAATATATCTTATGGTACGAAAATCTACAGGATATACAGACGGATTTGCACTCCAGCCGTGATGCAGATACCAAACAACATTACCAAACATCTTAAGGCAAGTTAAACTCCGACAGTGGAATTTTGTGCTTAAAAAAAAAAATCACAGACGAAAGTGATTATAACATTGTTAATAAATTATATTTATTTGGTTCAATCTAGACTGTTGTAGTGCAATATGGCCTCATTTGCTTGCATATCAAAATATGGTAGGGAAATAGATAATCAATTTTAATATGAAGAAAGTTAAAAAACTTGATTCTGATTTCATGATTCTGAAAGTATTAGGTCGTCAAGAGATTAATGTTGCTTTTTTTTATGAAAAAAACCCGAACAACTTAT